GGACTAGAGAGGGGTCTTGAGAAGGGACTAGAGAGGGGACTAGAGAGGGGACTGCTGGGGCCAGACGGAACACACCGAGACGTATGGTGTCAGGCTGGTAATTGGGAGGCAGGGGGCTAGCATGCCAGGGGCTAGCAGGCCGGGAAACAGGTTTGACCTCAAAGCTGCCCAAAAAGTCCTCCACCCACTCGGGTAGCAACTCCCTCAACCAGGGCCTTGAGGTTACCTCCTGGCGTGCCGCAGAAATAACTGACTGCCTCTCTTCACTACTGGAGGCATATCTAAAGTCATTCCTCAAGCATGTTAAATTGTACTTCACCTCGTACAAACTGTCTGCTGGGTCCATTCTTGGTTGGTTTCTTCTGTTAGGGTTAGTGAAACAGGCAGGACCCAAATGCAGATTGAACAGAGAAAAATACCTTTATTTCAAGGTTGTAGGTGACAAAAAACAGAACACTACCCTGAGAACACAGTCTCAGACAAACGAGAAACCAACAATGACAGACAGCAAAAACAGAACTTAAATACACACAAGACTAATCAACGAAACAAGAGACAGGTGAGGAGGGAGGAGAAAACACAGGGGCACCAGGTGAACACAATCAAGTAAACAGGTAGGAGGGAACAGGTAGGGAACACACACAGGGCCCTTCTCACTTCTCTTATTTTTCATTTCCTCGCTCCTCGGTCTCGGTCTCACCGGAAGTTGATTTGTCTGCGCCATCTTGAGTAGCGTCCCAATGGCCTTATTTTTGCCGGAGGAGCGAGGAGCGATAATGGAGGAGCTATAATCGAGGAACCACCAGACCATCCTCCGATGAAATCCTCAGACACTCGCGCCGCCCCCTTACTGTGTATCGCTCACTGATTGGACGATGCAGTGCATGCACTGATCTGATGCTTCTTGACATGAGAGCAGTTTCGCAGCGGAGTGAAGAAAATACATGAACCTCACGGGAGTCAATCCTCAGTTTATACCGTGTTTTGTTTCAATTAATGTATCATTTAGTTACAAATATGTGATATATCTGAACAACAAAGTGGTCAAAAATCATTTTATTCATTTTTTGGAAACATTTTCATGGTCGCTTTTTTCGTTTTACATTTTCATTTATTGTCATTTCCAAGGGCGCCGGAAGCAGGGGGGCCAGGGGGCCATTGGCCCCCCATTTTACGGCCCTGCCCCACATTTTCGCAGCAGCGGATGCCACGGAACACTGTACACATCCCGTTTCAATAATTCCCCTCTACTCTAAAGTCGCATCTAAAAAGAACGTCATCTGATCTAGCTGTGTATATTTTGTTATTGTTGATTGTTATATTCAATCTCATTAGCATTTTTTAAGCTTGTAAAGGGAAGAACACAGCTCGTCTCTCACTCGCCACTCTGCTCTTCCACAGCGCCGCTTCCCCTCCCTCCGCTGACATTATGAATATATGGCGTATAGTAATCATAGATAACACGGCAGGGTCCGTTACAGTTTGTTTTTATCTGATTTCAAATAAACAAAGTCTTGGCTTTCAGAATATTAAACTTGTTTCGGCAAATTCAGATGATAAATACAGCTTTGAAGCTTTTAATGGCATAATTACAAGCGGAGAACGGAGTAACTTGACGTCACAGCAAGCATAACAACAGCCGGTGTTTCTCCTGAGAGTTTTCCCCGGGAAACAAACGCAAAAATACACAAACACACACACGTATACACACACACACATTCGCGAGCTTCCCCCACACCAGTAATCCAAACGAAAATATCTTCCCTCCGTAGGCCTAATACTTTGATCATTTGCTCCGCTAATAATCAATCAGATCGATCCAGAGAAGAGGAAACTTTAAAGGCCTTTTTCTCAAAATGATGACTCGGTGACAGTCATTATATAATGTGAAATATTTTGCTTAATATAGCACAAAAACAATCCTGATATCATTAGAAAGCTAGGAATCTCCTCTTTCCAACAGTGTATACAACTCAAAATGTGTCTTCGGATCAATGCGACTGATTTCGATGGAGCAGGTCACTTTGCATTAGGTAAAATACAGGCAGACATAACAGGAAGAATATGTACATTTTAATCCAATCAAATAGGACATTGTCACACCATTCAAATGTATCCATGTACATTACAACCAATAACAAAGCTGAGATGTGTTTATTTGTTACGTTGTTTACGTTATGTGTTACGTTGTACAGTGTGTGTCAGCCGTTAACCTAGATAGATAAACTTGCAAACATGTCAGAAGAACCGGCGCATAAGAAAACAAAATACAGTCAAACTAAGCTGAAATTCAACAACTTCAATGTCACATCCCTGACATCCACAACTCCGGAGCCTGGTCCTTTAACCATAGAACCAGCGCAGCCAGATGAACCCCAGCAGCAGCTCTGCGGCCGCAGAGCCTGTCAAAACCGCCGCCGCCGGCATCGTTGAACCGAAACAGGCTGGTTCCGACTGCATGAAGGTTTGTTGTCGGGACATTGTGACGGGCAAATAAAAGCTTATTTGGGTAAAGAGAAAGGTACTTCAATGCAGAATGGTACAAAAACAGAGAGTGGTTAATTATTTGCAAAACCACTAAACGAGCCTTCTGTGAAATATGCAGATGTGATGCTGTCAAACGGCTTGTAACTTTCTCCAAATGTGGAGATGACAGCTTTGTAAATACAGAGTTAATAACTGGAACTTTTCACAGAGCTTACTTCAGTCAAACACTAGTCAACATTCAGCTTGTCAAACAAGAGCGTAGCAGGAAAAAAGAAGAGATGGAATGAGCAACTGCGCTGTCATATGTGGGCTGGTCTGTATAGTTTAATGTACAGGAAAGGAGTGAGCAGAGGGTTGAGTTGTCCATTCTTGTTCTGTTTTCTCTGACTATCTTCCTCCTGAAGACCCTCTCAGACTTTCATTTGCTCGCGCTACTAAAGAGACACGTTACCATGGAAATCAAACAATGGTGTAGCTGTATTGAAGTCCGAGTGGAAACAGTAACATTTGGTGCGTTATGTTAGAATGAAACAAATCAGATTTAGTCAGAAATCGGGAGAAATGCGGGATAAATATGACCCCGGGAGGAAAACGGGAGTCTCCCGCGAAAATCGGGAGGGTTGGCAAGTAGGCTATAATAATAATAATAATAATCCTTATATTTATTATAGCGCTTTATCAATGACTCTCAAAGCGCTTTACAAATACACATTACACATACATGTAATGGTCATCTATGTCACATACACACGCACTTTTTGGCCCCCCACTACTGAAATGAATCCGGCGCCGCTGGTCATTTCCATTCAGTCAGTCATTAAGTGCTATTTAAAATGTTAATTTGCTACATATACAAACAAACAAAGTGTGCAATCCAATGAATGTTAATCTAACTGGGTTTTGATAGATAACATATCTCTTTTTCTTCTCTCAATTATTTTATTTCTATTGTGCACTCTAATCAATATTAATCCAACTAATGTTCGTTTATACATTTTAAGAATGGCGTTTATCTTTTTTGAGAATTAGTTCTTATTTTATTTTATTTATTTGGGTCTACAACAGATGATACAAATTATTGTGTCAGTAAATGTGTACTAACAGAGGCGGGGGTGTTTGTGGAAATAACGGGGACAGAGCTGGTTGCTGTCAGACGATCAGCTGTGCAGCGTCATCACAAACGGACGTCGCTTCACGTGACGCTCCGGAGGAAAGGACGTCCCATTGCTCTTAAAACTAATATCCCTGCTTCTCGTGGTTTCCTTGCGTCCCTCCATGCTTCCCTGGTGGGAGGGACTAGCCACAGGGAAACGACGCAAGTGAGGGACGCAAGGAATCCATTTAACCGAAGTGAGAAGGGCCCACAGACAGGAAACCAAGGACAGATCTAAACAAGACAAAACACAACACAGACAAAAAACAAAAGACAGATCTAGACAAGACAAAACACAACACAGACAGATCGTGACATCCTGCAGCCTTATCTGGTTCCAAAAAGCTTGACAGGGGCTTTGTGTCGGGGCTGATATGGAGACAGACAGCATCATAAAAAGATAGGTAGAAAGGGATTATTGGAACAATATGCAACAACAAGTCTGTTGATTGCAGTTTAAGTAGTCTGAATTATGCTAATTAACTTGCTGAGTAAAACCATGAACACCTATTCATCTGTGGGTCTACTCTATAACTTTGTTGTATTGCATCTTGGAGTGGGCCTGAGAAACGGAACGGATCAATTTTGACATGACATATTTAAAATTAACCATTGATCTGTTTTCGGAAATGTTGCTTTTATTTGCTATTTAGTAAAAATGGAAATGATCCACTCAGCAAACTCTACACAATATCCCTTACTCATGCTTTTTTCACGCTAGCATGCTGATGAGAAACGGTACACAAAACGTTTTTTCTCCTTTGATCATTAACCCCTGAGCCTCTGTGAGCAATATGTGGTTAAGCACAAAATGACTATACTATACTCTAAGCAAAAATCGACCTGCACAAAAGAAAGACCCTTGTGATTTTCACACAGGAAGGAAATGCACGTCAAACCTCGTTGTTCAGTCTCCTCATCTGTGCCCAGCCTGTGCATCTTCTCACACATCACTGTCATAAATGCCTGTGGTGTACTGAAAAAAGAACAGTGCATAGAAGCTGTCAAACTGCAACTAAAGCAGTTGCAATGATGCAAGTGCACTGCTCTGTGGTCTGCAAGCTAAATGTTTTGAATGATTTTGTTGAAAAAAAATCAAGATTTCTGCTAATGCTTTGTAGAGTTTAACTGCATTTTTCAAAAATGCAAACCTTCTTGCTTTATAACTCTTCTGTCTCTCAATGGAACATATGTAAATCAAGTTCATTATCAGGACTAAAGCCACATTTGAGTTGGTTTCTTAATCTAAATACTTTCCAGTGGTCATAAACAAAGGTCATGTGGGTGTAAACACGGCAGACTGCTCAAAACATTAATTATTTTTCAGATTTGTTCAACAAAAAATGTCACCATGAGGTAATCAACTTAAATTATTTATTTGTTTACTTCCAAACAACCATTTTACCAACATTTTTCACATATTTTGACATCATACATGTCAGATCCACACTTTAATAAATATTTTAAAAAGGCTACAAATTAACAAGCGTGTTAGTGTTAACAGACTCTACATTTTATAAAAGGGGGGGACCCAAGTTCCCATCGGCGAAAACACGTGGGTTTGCTGTCCTGGCTCCAAGATGGTGGAATGAGCTCCCCATTGACATCAGGACGGCAGATAGCTTGCACATCTTCCGGCGCAAACTGAAAACTCATCTCTTTCGACTCCACTTCGAGCGTTAGAACTATTAACGAAGCACTTTTATACTAATAAAGGACTGGCTTACCTAAAGCCAGTTGAGTAGCACTTTAAATGTTTGGCTCTATGAAACCTGATGTACTTATATGATTCTGTTTTCTTCAAGGTTGTGTCTTCCTGGTCGAATGTACTTATTGTAAGTCGCTTTGGATAAAAGCGTCCGCTAAATGCAATGCAATGTAATGTAATGTAATAAAAGGCACCTTGTGTGAATGTGTGGAAAATGCTTCAATTGATTTAACCACCAGTTTTAAATCTGTCTATAAAGACAGTGTGCAATATTTCCCTGGGTTTTAACATTGCAGACCATTTCATATTAGACTATTCAGTGCAGTCTTTATACATTCTAGCAATTAAATCAGCAATTTAAGCTATTCAGATACATTCTGATCAGTTTATATTCTGATTTTGGAGTTAAATTAAGAAATATAAAACATTAAACCATCAGATCTTGTAGAGACCAAAGAAGTTGCCATAATATGCGTGACTAAGATAATCTGGGTGAGATGCATTCACAAATACTCTGTCGAATTTTTGCAGCTTCAGGGCGGAGCCGAGGTAACTCTCTGTGGTCCAGGCGTGTCTCGGCTGAGAGCATAAACCCGCTCTGTGGGCCTCCATCAGGGTAAGAGGCGAGCGGTGTCCTGCTCTCCTCACAAACACCGAATGTATGAACGATGAGGTAGGAGAACAATGCTGAAAGATCAACTCCACCCGTGAATAAATGTGGTAGAGTCCCGTCTCATTGACTTGCAGGGAACCATCTTCAAACCTGTAGGCCACGGCTCCAGTGAGGAATGACCGCGCTGCATGAGGATCCCAGCGCAGAGTCTTAGGGAACACTAAGGTTTCAATCCGCCCTGCAAGAGAGGAGAAATCCTGTTACCTCTTTCTGTCCTATGTAATATAGAGAATCTGGGGATTGGTTTCTTTTTTATTGTTATGTTACCTGTCACATGTGCTGCAGGTCTGTTGTTCTTCTCTTCAATCAACTCAGGTTTATCACCTGAAAACAACCATCAGGTTAGAGTCATATCATCTTTTTCACTCCATTGGGAAAGATATGTGGTGAGTGGTGTTTATATTTACCAATTTGCTTCTGAGGTGAATCAAACTCAATTTTTGTCTGAGGTGTAGTAAACTCAGTCGCAGAATGAACCTAAAGTGAAACACAGGAGAAACAGAGAATTCTCAATACCACATCACAGACTGTTGACTCTCAGTGCTTTTATCTCGAAGCCCTCAGAGCACAAGTCAAGAGAGGAAATCCGGTCTCACTGGACGAGAGACCACAGATGCAGCAATAGGTTCCCTGGTTTGCGTCTTTAAAGGTCACAGCACAGCTGAAATATATTAACTCTTTAAATCATGTCAAGAAGAAAAAAAGTGAATTCATTATTAAACTTTGCAGTGTTAACTTTCCAGCTCGGTGTTCCACTCTCCCACGTTACACCTCTAGACTCTTGTCTCCGTGCAAAGGTGAGATAACCTCACCTTTTTTTAATACGCAGCTTTATCTCCAAAAAAAAACTTCAACGCAAAGTAATGCATTCGTTTTTGGGAACCAATGACATTGGAGTCAAAAGAGATGTCCAAAGAGTCATCACTTACCAGCTCTTGACCTTCTACACACAGCAGTCACATATTTACAACTTCAAATCTATTTATTTGCCACACACTGCTGTAGTGATAATTAGCTTGAATACAGTAAGTCAGAGTGATATGAAATTCGGTTACAAATGAAATTGAAACCACTCTCTCATGCCTTCTTCCTTTGACTAGTACATCCATCACAGCCTGTTGTCCCTTACCTTTTTTAACTCTCTCAGTTCTTCCTGCATGTTCATAATCTGGTAGGCTTCAAACCCCAGGGCCGCAAACACAAGCAGGAACAGCATGAGTACGATCAGGGACAGAGCGGGGCTGACCCCCATGCAGCCCCGACTCTTCCCACGGCTCCTCACCCTCTCCTGGGGGGGTGGGTAGGACCAGCAGGGTACAAGATTCGGAGGCTGGGCAGAGTGCTGCGGCCCTCCACCTCCATCCACAAGGAAAACCTGTGGGAACGGATAGCTCTGGTCAACGCTCATGGTGCAGGTCCAAACTCTGTTTGCATCTAACAGCTCTGCACATGAAGGTGTGTTCTTTTGTCTTCTCACCTCTTGTCTTAAAAAAAGAAGCTTCAGCTGTCAAGTCATTCACCACCCACAAGTCCCTCCCACACGCACCATGGGCGGAAGACAAGTGCTCATTACTTGTCATTAATTTACACAAGCCAATCAATTGTAATACCAGCCAATGTATCCTGTTCTGCGATTCTACATAATTTTTAAAACTACCTGTCACTCTAAACTAAAACAAAGTTTAAAGTTAGCTATGTGCTTACTTATCTGTGCAGTGTGCATTTCAAAAGCTGTAGCTCAGTCTGAAGGGAACGGAAGCTAGAGGTTAAGATGACCCCCACCTCACTAACCACCATCAAGTCAAGATCAGAATGAGACCTTTTCACAAATTCCACGAAAGGAAAGAGTGATCAGACACAGTCACCTGCCCAGCATTTCACATGCAGCGCAACAGGTCTTTGGCACAGGTAACATAGTGTGCAACATAGCCTACAGTGAATTTGTTTTTCCTTCTAGTTGTCACTGAACTTCTTCACATCTGAATCATGCCCTGAATCTGAACATTTACCCCTAGTTTTTAACCATTTAATAATGCATTTTCATTCAAATGTGTGTTAGTAAACAATGATGCGACAGTTTCAGTAGAACACAGCGCATTGTTGGTGGGTAGATTTTGCTGCCACATGAAAAGAAAATGTGTCTCTACATTGGCACTGCTGCGTTTGAAAAGCTTGTAGTGTGAGACAGCGATACTTCAGAGGTGAAAATTAACCCCAGATAATACCTCCGAGATGAATTTACAGGAAAGCTGAACGCGTAAGCACCCTTTCGTCCCCACTCAGTGAGGAGTTAATGCCGTTGTGGTCTTTCTGCCACTATTGGGTTTCTTTCATAGGATAAAGATCAGTTACGCTGCTCCTTCACTGTGGTTGCAACAGTTTCCAGTTGTTTCCCCAATAAATATTTATTAGCACCATTAAGTGGGTGTTAAGTGGTTTTTGATAAAGGGCATTTTTTCAGCTTCATAGATGGACCTTAAAACAAGACATGCAGCATTGCACTGGAGGGCTGCCTCACGAATGCTTACACTACAACGTTGTTTAACTGTGTTGTGTTTTACATTACTTTTGAAGCAGAGCTAGTCTTGTACATTGTGTACATTTGTATTTATATGTGTTTAATTCAGTAACTACAAACAGCTCTCAGGCCTCTCTGTCCACTGAGTTTCATTTCCTTTCTCCAGGCACCTGCAGAGACAAAGGGAAACCCACCTTGCATTCTGCATTCACAGCTCTAACTGAAAGGGCAACTATACGTCAACCTTAACCATAAACTGTTCAGGCATTCTGCGCTCTACAAGCTGAAGTGTCTGTTTCCCAGAAGTGACATGCAGCCCTGACAGCAGCAGCGGCAGCACTGAGTGTTTAAGTGGGAGGGTGGGGTTGTGGGGTCTAACCAGGCCGTGTTCAGTGGCTCTGCTCTAGTTATTAAAACCAGACAAGGTGACTAAAAAGATTAACTGAATCAGCAAATATATCAATGAACGCTGCCTGGTTCTCACCGTCTTCCGTCTCTCTGTTGCATAACGGAGAATGTTGTGGTCATGATGACTGAAATTACAAAGATTTTTGAACCTGAAATTTATGACATTACTCATGTCTTTCGTGCAAAGATGAACTTTCCCTTACGCATGGCTTGTGAGGAAAATATTAAGATTTTCTGTGTACTCATTACAAATTATGACATCGTGATCCATAATCGAAAAGTGTAAATAGTCACAGAAACTTAAATATAGAAAATATGGGCCTATCAAAATTATGACAGGATTAAAAGGAATACGAATACAACTTTAACATTTCTAACATAAATATCTCACCTGCATGACCCAACACTATTAAGGAAGTCTTTAAATTAATTCAGAGCAGAAAGGGGTTCCATAAAACACTTTATTGCATTTAAAAATGTAGAGGACCATTACATTTCACGATCATCACGTGTCGCAGTCCTCATCAGAAGAAGAATAACAGTCAAGTCCCAGGACATGGCCTTTCCTCTCCTCCGCTGTCCCAGTATTGGATGATATCCTTTCTGCGGCCTCACAGTCTGAGTTACGCTCTTGCCCAACAACACATCCCATCCTCGCACCACAATGGTTCTGTGTGTCTCTGCTCTGGGTTGACTGTGTTTGCATTAATGAAGCATTAACAAGGTTGGGCAGGCCAGACTGCAGCACCATGGCGAGGCTCTGTGTTTGAGAGGAGCCCCGCTGAACCGGCGGTCCCCTGAACGCAGCAGCCGCGATCGCCAGCTTTGTGTGGTCAAAGGAGAGGGGCTGGTCCTGGTCTGCACTCACTGCCTCTGAGGGGTCTGAGTTTGGGTGGGTGGGGAAAGGGGTTTGAACCCTGGTCTCTGATTGGCTGAGAGGTCGCTGTTTCTCAGGGGCTGAGGTTTTGAAATATCCTGTCAAATTTCCAACCAAGTCGCTTTCACTTCTACATGACTGACCGCTGCCTTCATGAGAGTCACAGGGCCGAGGTTTTTTATCTGTAAATAGGAGTGAAGATACACAGATTGAGGTCAGCTGCTGGTGTGTTAAAGAAATACTTTACCCATAATGAAATGTAATCAGAAAAAAAGGATATTGAACAACTAATAGCAAAATACAAATATACAATACTGCATGTCTGAAAACGTTTTTTTTTTTACTGTGTATTCGCACATCACGAGACTCTTCAACAAGTTAATCAGTTAAATCAAACTTGTGTCCCAATTTGACTTCCTGTCTACTAGTGTGCATGCATGTAAACATACGTCGGTGTATAGCTGGAAATATTTATTGTTCTGTTATATCAGATGAAAAAGTTATATTTACTTGCAAGTTTTAAATTAAATGAAAAAAACACACATTTTGTTAAATTTCTCCACTATTTAATTCTTAGAGGACTATAAAAAACGCTTAACCGTCTGGTTATTCATGTATATCATGCCGACTTGCAATGTGCTGCCTATATTTGACAATTCTTTAAAAGACTCAAAACAGGATGATACTTATAATATATTTCTAGAGCCTGTTAATATGCAAACTGAACCCAAGCTTTCACTGCGTGCGAGAGATACGTCATAAGCTTTAACACACTGACCGATACTTGGAGTGTCGTGCGTGTCTGCTCTCCTCTTGCAGTATGCTCTAGGAGTCCATGGCTTATGTTTGCATGCTGGGTCGAGAACTCGTAGTTTGGTGATGAAGCGTTTGTACTCTTTCTCTAAAGACTCAATGCGCAGCTGGAACTCAGCAATCTTCCTCTCCGGGTAGTGAGACAGCTGGGATTGCTGAGAGAGAAGACGTACAGGGAAAACATTATTTCAGTGTCATTAGAAACGTTGTTGAATTAATGTGACACAGTACTTACAATTGACTTACCTGCAAATAATATTCTATTTCATTCTTGATGCCGAGGATCCACTTTTTCACAGAGGAAGCTGAATTGAGCGTAGACTGCAAAGAAAATGGTTGGCTCAAATAAACTAGTCGAAATAAGGCAATTGAGGTGAAGTTTTATTGATTGATCAATGATCATTAATAACAATTAATAACTTTTCATTACCAGCTTGGGTCTCCTCTCATGTACATCTTTGATGCGTCCCTCTGTAAATTATACAAAGAAATGAACCATTAGTTTAGCAGGAGCTTAGTGTTTAAAATGAGCTACATGGTGAATGCTAGGAAATAAGCACTGTAAGGAAATGTGAACTAGCTTTTCATGTTACTTCCAAAAGGCAGCACCTTTCATTACAACCGGATGGAGTAATCTAAGTAAAAACTGTGAGTTAGCATCACTGTAGCTAAAACTCAAAGCTAGCACTCCGTATCTTTGTTTATTGCAAATATGAATTAAATACGGCATATACTTTGGGCTTCTGGCTGCGTACCCTCTCTCTCTTTCTGAAGCCACAGTCTGTTCAATTTTCCTTGTTGCTTCTCTTCGTTTCTGGCCATTTTAAATCATGATCCAGAGTCTGCAAGAGTAAGGCGTCTCATACAAAACAATGTCACGTGACACAAAATTATGTCACATGACTTTCATACCGCGAGAGTAGGTCCCCAACGTTAATTGCATTGGTCATTACTATAAAGAGCACTAAAAACCACAGTCGGACATTTTTTCTGTTCCTGGGGTTTGTATGTAAAATGGATATTATTTATCAATATATACGTTATCATAATATTAGAGAATATAATACTATCCTATTTTTAACAGTAAGAAAATACATGTAAGGGCATTTTAGTTGGTCAATATGATGCCAATTTCAGATACTTTGTATACAACTGGGTAGATTAGCAGTACAGTATACTACATACATCATATAAGCATACTGGTACTCTATGTATGAATGTTAAATTAATGTAGGGGAGTAAAAAGTACAATTTGCCACATATTTTTTGTGTACTAGAAATACAAAGTATACTTTTTATTTTGTTTTTATTTAGCATTAAATGGAAATACTCAAGTTAAGAATGATTATGTTAAAATGGAATTTAAATACAATACTTAAGTAAAGGTACTTTGTTACACAACTGGTTGGTAGTTATACAGAGTCAATGTATCAGTAGGCCTCAGGAGATTAAGTTTGGTCATTGCTAACTTAACCAACTTGCTAAAAATCAACAACAATATCTCCACAGTAATGTTGCAGACTAAAAATGACTTCCGTTAAGATGGCGCCTTGGCCCTTCAAAAACATATATCCATCCATCCATCCATCTTCTTCCGCTTATCCGTGGTCGGGTCGCGGGGGTAGCAGTTCCAGCAGAGAGCCCCAAACTTTCTTTTCCCTGGCGACATCAACCAGCTCTGACTGGGGGATCCCAAGGCGCTCCCAGGCCAGCGAAGAGATATAATCCCTCCACCTGGTCCTAGGTCTACCCCTTGGTCTCTTCCCAGCTGGACGTGCCTGGAACACCTCCCTAGGGAGGCGCCCAGGTGGCATCCTAACTAGGTGCCCGAACCACCTCAACTGGCTCC